GAATCCCAGATGACTACTAGTAGATAGACGTGGACAGGCTTCTCTCGTCAAACCGTGTAAAAACGTTTGAACAACTTGATTATTTTTATGCACATTTACAACTTTTATTTTATTGATTGTTGGTTGGATGGTAACTTTCACAGTTCCAAAATTGCTTAAGCTATATTATTTAAATCATTTAAATACTTAAATTAAACTTTTTAAATATCCAGTTCACCCTCTGTCTAGAATCACATGTAAATCATCACAAAAGAAATTTGGGGCACTGCAAACATATTCAAAACCAAAAAAACGTTGCATAAATATATAAGAACAAGGTGAAGTTTTTTGGTATCAAACAAGGTAATAAATCTATGTTACAGTATATCAAAATCTTGAAGAATATGTGCCAAGAGGATGTGATTATCATGAAAGCCTTAATAAGAATAGATAATAAAGTTTATGACTTTCTCGCAAGTCAAAGCAAAAATTAAATTTGATCAAGCTAGAATTCAAACTTTAGAAAACAATAAAATAACACCTTGAATGAGACAATCTCTATATAAAAGAAAGAGAAGAGTCGTACTTGAGCCCCATACTCTGAAAGTATCTACTTTTATGATAGATTGTGAGAGCAACAATAAGTTAAGCATAGAACAACTAATGACCACCAAGAGTGAGAAAGTAATACTCTCTAAAACTATAAACTGAGGCAACAAAGACGATCTTTGGTGCAGCTGCTGCGAAAAACATGAGTCATTCCACAGAAAAATATTATAACTTGAATGGAAAAATACAAAAAAACAAGTAAGGAATTGGGATATCATGTTCGAAAGTAAAAAAAACATTATGACCATGGGAGAATTTCATAAAAAAGAGATTGAAAGAAGGCTAGGATAATGATTGAAGACATTAAAAAGGTCAAAGTTCTCTGTTAATTAGAATCCCCTAATGTCATTATTAAATCTTGGATGATAGATTTAGATGCCACTAATTATGACACATTCCTCACCAAAATATAACACCTACACTACTAGTTCAAGTAACAACAAAATCTTAGTTGCTGATGGTTCTCTCACTACAATAGCTACAAAAGAAACTAGGGGTGTAAACGAACCGAACACGAACGAACAGAGCTAGTGTTTGTGTTTGGTTCGTTTGAAATTTAGTTTGTTTGAAATAGTATTGAAATATCTAATTTAAATTACAGAATTTATTGTCTTTTCTCTTATAAACAAAGTTTATTCTCCTTCCTTCTTTATATTATTTGGTAGTTGTACAAAATCATGCTTAATTAGTCTTGTAATGTAATAGAAAATAATTGTAATCTATCTAGTTATTTTCCTTATCTAGGAGGTGGGACTCCTATATGTAAAGGTATCTGGTATTGAATCAGTAAGAAGGAAGGAATTTCTCTTCAAGTTTACCTTGTTTTTCATGGTATCATAGCGAGAATAAAATTCCAAAAACCCTCGCTTTCTTCCTTCCAAATCCCGAAGAATTGCAAAAGGCGAAGCTTTCTCTTCCACCGGTTCCGCGGTTGCTGCTATGTCGCGATTCGCGAAACCTTTGGTCTCTCCAGTGTTACGCAATTGGCAAAAATTGGTGCCCGCCACCTGCGAAGCCCTCGTCCTCTTCCATCAAGCTCGACGGTTCTGGAACCAGACGGCGACCTGCTTTGGATCGAGGCCGATCTCGATGAGAAGTTTGACTTTCCGACAGGATTCCAACTTGAGCCCCTTATCAAAATTCATCTCCAGGAATCTCTTCCTTTTTTTATCATGCTGGAAAATATAAATTATTCTGCTACCTCTATTCAACCTTCTGCCTTGTCATTTGCTTCTGCACCACCTTCCTCTAGAACAACCGAAAATCATCCAGCCCAAATCACCACAATTCGTCTCAATGGTGATAATTTTCTACGTTGGTCACAATCGGTGAGGGTGTACATTAAAGGAAGAGGTAAGATAGGCTACCTAACAAGGGAAGTCTGTGAGCCAGCCACTACAGATCCATCTCACGCAACCTAGGATGCAGAAAATTCTATAATAATAACATGGTTGGTGAATTATATGGAAGAAGAGATAGACACAAACTATATGTTTTACACTAATGTCAAATAACTCCGGGAGAATGTGGCCCAAATGTATTCAGATATGGGTAACCAATCTCAAGTTCATGAACTATCCCTAAAACTTGGTGATATTTGTCAAGCTAATGATTCTATCCCAAAATACTTTCATTCTTTAAAGAGAATATGACAAGACCTTGACCTGTTTAATGATCAAGAATGGAAGTGCTCTGATGATGCTAATAGATATATGACCATTGTTGATACAAATAAAATTTTTATATTTCTTGTTGGACTTAATGAGGAGTTTGATGAGGTTAAAGACGGAATTATTGGGAGAAGTCTCATGCCTTCAATCCATGAGGCTTTCTCAGAAGTCCGCCGCGATGAAACTTGAAGAGTGATGCTCAACAAGAAAACCACTCCTACCAGCATACCTGAGACCTCTACATTCCATTTTGAGGCTCATATCAGTAAGCGAACTGTCTCATATTCACAGAACAATGAGGGGAAACCCCGGGTGTGGTGTGATCATTGCAACAAGTCACACACACTATACAAACCTGTTGGTATCTCCACGGTAAACCTGCAGATTGGAAGCCAATAAACAAGTGCAAGCCACCTACTGCAAATGTTGCTGCCAAACAAACCAGTTCATTTAGCAAATAGCAAATCGATCAACTCCTGAATCTGCTAAACCCCAGTTTGGCTACTGGTACTCCAAATTGTTCGATAGTACATGCAGGTAGAAAACTAAACCCTTAGATTATTGATTCGGAAGCTTCTGATTATATGACAAATTTACACTATTTATTTGATTCATACATCTCATGTTCTGACCATGAAAAGGTTTGTATTGCTAACGGTAGTTTCTCTTCCATTGCTGGAAAAGAAAACATTAACATGTCCAAGAGTATAGGTCTTAAATCTATACTCCATGTTCCACAACTCAAATGTAACATTCTATCCGTAAGCAAACTTTTAAAGGATTCTAACTGTCGTGTAATTTTTTGTGAATCTTCTTATGTTTTTCAAGACCAGAAGTCGGGGATGATAATTGGGAGAGCTAAAAAGATAGGGGGACTTTACTACTTTGAGGAGACTTTTCCTAATGAAAAAAGGGTTCAAGCTTACAGCAGTATGGGTTTGAACTCTGCAGTAGAAAAAATAAAGGAATTGCATCTTAAACTAGGTCATCCAGGTTTTTCTTATTTAAAACATTTATTTACTAATTTGTTTAAGGGTGTTAATTGTGTTTTATTTCAATGTGAAACGTGTTATTTGGCAAAAAGTCATCGCATAAATTTTGCACCAAAACCATATTATCCTTCAAAATATTTTTTCATGATCCATAGTGATGTTTTGGGACCTTCAAAAGTCAAAACATTACCTGGGAAAAGGGGATTTGTGACTTTTATTGACGATCACACAAGAATATGTTGGGTTTATCTTATAAAAAAAAATCAAAAGTTAAAAAACTCTTTAAAGATTTTTACAACATGATTGAAACTCAATTTAAAATTACAATATGCATTCTTAGATCTGACATTGGAGCTGAATATTTTAATAAATGTTTAAAGGAGTTTTTGATAAACAAAGACATAATTCATCAATCTACTTGTCGTGACGCTCCACAACAAAATGGAATTGTTGAAAGAAAAAAATAGACATTTACTTGAAGTTGCTCGGGTTATTATGGTTTCAATAAACGTTTCTAAATGCTTATGGAGGGACGCTGTTTTAACAGCATCATATTTAATAAACCGAATATCAACTCGAGTTTTACAATATACAACTCCTCTAAACAAACTAAAAAACAGTTTTCAATTCTACGAATGTCTTCAAATATTCCTTTAAAAATCTTTGGATGCACATGTTTCATTCATATTTCAAATAAATTTCGATCAAAATTTGATCCTAAATCTGAAAAATGCATTTTACTTGGATATGCTTCAAACAAAAACGGGTACAAATGTTTTAATCTTGTTACCAAAAAAACTTACATTAATATGGATGTGATCTTCATGGAAAAATTTCTCTTTATTCACAAAAATTCACTTTAGGGGTAGTATAATACTGATGGAGAAGATGATTTTTGGCAAGTTTCTAATCAATTACCAAGAGTTGTTCTAACACCAAGCACACATGAAGTCCGTGAAAACAAAAAACCAGAAATAGTTGTTGAAAGTAAATAAAACAAAGAGAATCCTGGTCAAGGGACACCTGAAATTATCTTGTCTAATACAAGGGAGAAATAATGCATAATACAATAGCAGAACCTCTGGTTTATTTCAGGAAAAAGCTCCATAAAAGGGAAAATGTCCAAATTGAAGCTTTAGCTCCCTCCCAATCTGAAGAACCAAATGATGGTCCTCAAGAAACACAGGTAAGTTACAATTTTGACCTTATTTTTTCACCAACAGAAGCTCAAGATTCAGAGGTTAAGAATATGGATCTTCATATAGCCATTAGAAAAGAAACACGTTCTTGTACTACTAAATATCCCATTTCGAAATATCTGTCCTACAAAAAAATTTTACACAAACATCAAATTTTTTGTCAAAAACTTCTAATCTGTCCGAACTCAGGACAATACAGGAAGCTCTTAGTAATCCAAATTGGAGAATAGTAGAAAAGGAAGAGATGGATGCTCTTTTGAAAAATGGAGCCTAGAAAGTTGTTACTCTACCAAGAGAAAAGTCTACTTAGGTGTAAATGGGTCTTCACTACTAAAGTCATAGCTGATGGGAGTGTCGAAAGATATAAAGCGAGATTAATAACAAAAGGATACACTGAAACTTACGGAATTGACTATGAGAAGACATTCGCTCCGGTAGCCAAGATCAATTCTATTCGTGCCCTACTGTCCATAGCGGCAAACCGTGATTGACCCTTGCATCAACTCGACGTAAAAAATGTTTTTCTAAATAGAGAATTAGAGGAGGTATTCATGGATCTTCCACCAGGATTTGAGAAGAAGTTTGGAGAAGACAAGGTGTGCAGATTGAAGAAATCCTTGTATGGGCTCAAGCAATCTCCTCGCGCCTGTTTGAGAGGTTTGGAAAGGTGATTACAAAATATTGACACACTCAGAGTCAAGTTGATCATACTATGTTCTACAAACATTTAGAAACTGGTAAACTCGCTATACTCATTGTCTATATCGATGATATTATTCTTGCAAGAAATGATGCTAGGGAAATTGAGACATTGAAAGAAAAATTGGCCACAGAATTCGAAATTAAAAATCTGGGAAATGTAAAGTACTTTCTCAGTATTGAGTTTGTCAGATCTAAGGATGAGATCTTCATTAATCAGCAAAAGTATGTACTCAACTTACTCAATGAAACTGGAATACTTAAGTGCAAATCAGCTGAAACTACGATTGAACCAACTAAAAGGTTACAAGTGACAAATAAAATAGACGACATTAACAAAGAACAATATCAGAGACGAGTGGGAAGACCAATCTACTTGTCACACACTCATCCTGATATATCATTTGTTGTTGGCATGGTAAGTCAGTTTATGCACTCTCCAAATACTCATCACTTGGATGTTGTCTATAGGATCCTTAGGTATCTGAAAGGAACGTCCGGAAGAGGACTGTTGTTCAAGAAAAATGAGCACTTACAGATAGAAACATTTACAGATGCAGACTGGGCTGGGAGTGTTACAGATAGAAGGTCAACCTCAGACTTTTCTAGGAGGAAACTTGTAACCTGGAGGAGTAATAAGCAAAGTGTCGTGGCAAGAAGCAATCCTAAAGCTGAACTCAAATTTGTGGCTCATGGGATATGTGAAGTTCTATAGATTAGATGAATTCTCAAGGAGTTAAAAATTCATAGTCTGTCACCATTAAAGGTCTACTGTGATAATAAGTCTGTCATCGTCAGTCATCGTCAATCTCGTCCTTCATGATAGGACAAAGCACGTAGAGATGAACAAACACTTCATCAAAGAAAAAATTGACAGATCTGCATGGTGTATGTTCTTTCTAACGACTAAGCAGCGGATATTCTAACAAAGGATTTTCACCAAAAACAGTTTGATGGTTTAGTGTGCAAGCTAATTCTAAAAAATATCTTCATGTCAGCTTGAGGGAGAGTGTTGAAATATCTAATTTAAATTACAGGATTTAATATTTTTCCTCTTATATTCAGAATTTATTCTCCTTTGTTCTTAATATTATTTGGTAGTTGTACAAAATCACGTTTAATTAGTCTTGTAATGTAAAAGAAAATAATTGTACTCTATTTAGTTATTTTCCTTATTTGGTAGGTGGGAGTTCTATATGGAAAGGTATCTGGAATTGAATCAGTAAGAAAGATCCTTGTAGATCTACCTCTCTTTCCTTGTAACTCAGAAGTTACACGCTTTGCAAGTGGTTTCACGGCATGCGGGAACTGTTCCTAATAAGGCAATGAAATTAGTTCACCCTCAGCATAATTTGCATCAGCTATTCCTCCATCCTCACCCTCAATTTCACCGTTGACATCATGAACATCATGATTTGCATCTTCTTCACCAGCAGTATCACCACAGGCTTCAACTTCTCCAAGTGTTTGGGTGCTCTGTCCCAAACCACAAAGTCTTGAGCTCAAAGCCTATTAAACAACTATCAACGATATCGCTAATATATACATGACTGCAGTTGCTTGAACCACCAGTTGAACCATTATAGGCATCTTCTATATCACACAATTCTATAACTTCGACAAGCTAAGCAGCTACTTGCCTTCCAGCGTTCTTTGAGACGCCAAAGATAACAGTTTCCCAGCACCGAACCGATGAGCTTCCAAATAAAAAAAAAAAATCTCCTAGTGCAAAACAAAATGGAATGTTTAATGTGAGGTACAAAGCCACACATCATACAATGCAGAAATGATGATAGATATGAACCGTTTCAAGAATTTTAAAAATATCTATATATTTACATATCAAACATCTAAATTTCAACTTTTACATATTTGGCACCTTCCCTAAGCATAATAAGGTCTAAGAGTGATATTTTGTATGTGATGTGAAATACTTGGGTGGTATAAATGTGAAACATGAATCTACGTTAATGCCTAGTCCTGGGTGGCATAAATGTGAAAAATGAATCTACATAGAAATTGGGTGTTATATACGCTCTTTAAAAATGAATTTTCAATGGTTAGCTAGTCCTGGGCCAACATGAATCATGTAAGATTCATAGTCTAGAAAGAATGGAACTTTTTGTACTTTTCTTGTGTAATGTTTCAAAATATTTGTTTGACTTCGTAAGGCTAAACCTCCTTGGTCAGTTCTCCTTCTCTTTGTCGCACAAAACAAAACATATTCCGTATCGAGCACATAGAAAGCCTGCAAAAGATTTAATGTTAATGAAATTTGGAGAGCACAAGGCATCAATTGTGTGCCAGAATCAAAATAGTTGGATGCTTATCAAACTGCTTTGGAAGTTTGTAAGTTTACCTTTGAGGTGAGACTTGTTGTCTTGCATTCCATACCATTAACAATTCAAAGACCATCCAAAGTACTGCAATCAATAGAATTCTCATCATCTTCATTTCTGAATTTTCTTTTATTCCTTCATGATTCATAGACAAGTCAACAACGAGGAGAAATTAGATTTTCATGACTGCGGTTATATACTTTTGATGTTATCCACACCTCATTAAAATGCCAAGCCTCTTCTTTCTATCTGAAATACTGGAAAGGAAATCATTGTGCAGGTACGATGAAAAATAAGAATCAAATGTCAATCTATTTTCTATTCATGTTTATTTGGCATTCTTCATATTTATTTAGCTTAAGCATTACTTTCAAAAAAGTTTCAGCATTTTTGTTGTTTTGATTATTGCCTCTAGAAAACTAGAAACTATACAAAAAAATTATTTCTTACTACATTCTTAAAAATCAGAGTAATATTTCTTACTATACATTGTTATGTTTATGAAGTTTTCGCAACAAGAGTTATATGTTGGCAAGAAGTTGCATTTATTTTTGGGTGAACGATCAAATACTTTAAACTTTATTTATAACTTATGTGACACTTGCAGTTGAAGTGAATTTATTTTTTTTTAATTTAATGATAAGGCAATCTGCCAAGTTAATTCCAAATGCATTGAATTTTGTTGAGCGGCTTGTTAAGTTCAAATGTTCCTTCAAATTTCTTTAATATTGGAGTTAAAATGTGAAGTAAAGATCTAAATTAAGTAATGGCTTGATAAGTTGGTGGATTTCTCTGTAAATTTGGTCAAGGTTAAATCTTGGGAGTCGTAATAGGATATAGTTACAGCCTAAGCAAGCATTAACCGCACAATCTTAGATTCATGTTTCAAAAAATTAATTTTATCTAAATTTTGATTTTTTTTTTATTACTTATTGCTTCTTTCTAACATTTATAAATAGAAGGTCAGTGATTTTGTACAAAAAAATTACCTATTAAACATAAACTTTTTCTTTTGGAGTTGAAATTTATACATATTTCTAGGATGTGATATTATTGTTCAAGTACGAGACTTGATGTTTAGATTTTTCTTTTACTCAATACTTATTTATTTACTTATTGCAATCAAAGTGGATTTCGATTTAGTTGTATCAATCACATATCTTATTTTCTATTTGTGTGAACGAAATTTATATCTGTAATTTGATTTGGTTTATCCCTCTTTGGATATTCATTGTGTCTCGCATGGTTATATCTTCTTTCCCGTTTTTTGCCATTCAACATTATTCAGACAATTTGCTCTTGAATCTTTGTATGTTGCATTAATATATATGCATGTTGTCGAATTAGATTATTTACATTTTATAGAGAGTGGTTGCAACCGTATCAATATTAATGGAGCATTTTCCTATCAAATTGTTTTACTGGTTCCAAATTCTTATCGCTTTCTACACTGTTCTTTCATGGGTTTCCTACAAGTAAAATTTACAATGTTTTTATCTTTCTTGGTGGGGCCACCTATCTGATGCTCTTCCTGAAATTCCTCTTATTTAGAACATGATGATCTGAACTTTGCTATAACATAAATCTTAAAGAAAATTTATAAAGAAGATTTAAACAGCTTTAATTTTAGAATAAGAGAAACGTAAGAGTGTTACCATAGATATAACCACTGATTTGTTGATTTAATGCTACAAATTTGAGTATACATTCCAATTATAACACACCGCAACTTGGCTCTGCGTTGAAGTAGCATCATCCTCATTATTATCAATGCATCATTTTATTGTTTCAAACATCAACATTGTTAACTGTTTTTTATTTTTTCATTGTTTTCTTACAAGCAAAATTTTCGAAAATATTTTAACCTCATTGGGAATTCCTATCAAGTTCTCCTCTTGAAATTCCCCTTATATTTGATCATGATGATCTGATCTCCACCATAAATCTTAAAGAAAGAATTATAGGTGTTTTTTTTAATAACATAAATCTAGGAGTGAATTAAAGCTACAACCAGTGATTTGTAGATTCAGTACTACAAATTTATGCATCAGTCCAATTATAACGCTCTACAACTATGCTCTACATTGAAGTTGCAGCAGAGTCAGAGTAACTAAACATGCCAACATGCATCATGAAATGTAGTACTTATTTGAGGAAAAACTATTTGCAAGAAAATGAGAGAACCAGAGCTAAAAAACAAGTGTTTTGATCACTTTGTCTTCTCTTATTTTTCTAGCAAAGGTGTTCTTTGAAATAAGAGAGTTTTTTTTTTGTCTTATTTCTTCATGTTTATTTGGCTAAATTCTAGTCTTAATAGAAGATTTTGAGGCAAAGTGTTGATTTTCCTTGATCTGATCTCTTCATAATAATATCGATCTCAATCCTTTTTTTTCTTTTTTTTTTATTTGCTTAGTGGTTAAGACGTGGCACAAAGTGTTAATTTTTTTTTTAATTTGATGTTTATCACAAATCAAATATATTTTATCTAGAACTCCGTGTTATCAGGAGGTTCATGCACTCGATATATTTAAACTTCTTATTTCTTTTAAAGTACATTTATGTACATACATGCATGAAATGTTTGAAATATCATGTGATACTATATTTTTGTGTGTAGTTATTTAGAATGTCAAATATTGAACATTTTCAATCTGCATCAAGTAGTGAAAAATTATCAGTTGCACTTCATGATGAAAATGATAGTTCTCAACCTGTTGAAGTGACTGTTGGAAGCACTAGTATTGAAATTGAATGTAAGAAATGCAAGCAGAGAAAATCATCTGTTTTGGAATATATTATTGATGTTAAATCAAATTTCAATGGGGTTGAAAAATCATTTGTTCAATGCATTTGCTGTGAGATAAAAATCCTTAAACTCAAGTCAGACACAACCTCACAGCTTCTTAGACACATTAAGGAATGTGCTAAGATAAAATCAAAGAGTCAACAACTAGTTAACTTGTCATATGAGAAACAAAATATACTAATTTTTTTGTCTTTCGAAGCTGACATTGATTCAGAGTTTCCTAATTTCTATGATTTTAAAAATTATGATCAACAACTCATAAGAGAGATGATTGCAAAGATGATAATTGTAAATGAGTATCCATTCATGATGGTTGAATATATTTGGTTTAAAATATTGTTGAAAATGTTGAATCCTAACTTTAAAAATATTTCAATAAACAACATAAAAATTGATTTGTATGAAAGTTTACGAGCATGAGAAAGAAAAGCTTAAATCTTGCCTTAAAAATGTTCACATGATGTCATTATCTGCTAATTGTTGGCCCCTAATCAAATTATTGGATATATGTTCTTGACTGTTCATTATATCGACGAAACATGGAAGTTAAATAAATTTATTATCAATTTCATTGAATTAAAAACTCCACATATAGGCACTTATATTTGTGAGTTATTTGTGAGTGTTTGTTGGAGTGGAAGCTTCAAGATAAAATTTCCACAATTACTTTGGATAATGCGAGTAATAATGATGTGACAGTTAATTCCTTAAAAGCGAATTTTGAATCACGAGGAATGCTGCACTTCTGTGATTTTTTTTTATGTAAAATGTGCACATATCTTCAATATAATGGTCTAAGACGGGCTAAAGAAGGTGCATGAAATCATCCAAAATATTAGAAAGTCAGTGAAGTATCTGAAAAAATCCCCTGCAAGATTACATAAGTTTGTAGAAATGACAAAGCAATTAGGAGTTGCAACTACAAGGTTATTGTGCATTAATGTTTCTACTAGACGGAACTCAATTTTCAACATGTTGGAGTCCGCATTTATCTATAGTACTATTTTTTATCACTACGTAATTAGAGATATTAACCATAAATGGTTGTTTGTTAATTCAGAATGAGTGAAATATGAGAAAATCAGAAAGTTTCTTTCAATTTTCAATAATGTTACAAAGATGATCTTTGACGCTATATGTTCTACTTCAAATATATTCTTACCTGCAGTTTTG